GACCCCCGTGTCCATGCTCCCTCTCCATAGGATGGTAAAAGCTCATGATAGGGGCTTCTTGCAGTTCTTGATGAACACAGAGTTCCATGAGTCTGGCCCTGGGGCAGAGTGCATGGGCATGTCATTTATCGCCTGTTCGAAGTCATTTGGCGTCAGGATAACATCAGATAGGCTTGTGTTAACCAAATTCTGTGGCTCTCTCATAAAAAATTCATTTTGATCTTCGACTCTCAGTCTGGTTAGTGGCTTGCTAAAAATTGAGTCATATTGGGACTTGAGTAGCTCACTCATTTCCTTGCTGTCATCTGTGTACAACCCATCTTGTTTAAGTAGGGGCCCAATACTGGACGTTGTTCTCGACTTTGATTTGGTATAGGAGAAGAAATACTTTGGGTTTCTTTCAATTTCATTTATGGCTTTTAGTTCTTCCCGCGATTCCTGACTCCTATAAGATTCCTTTAGCTTAAGTTCGATGCTTGCTATTTCTCTGACCAGTGTCTCCCTACGCATTTCAGATATATTGACCTCTTTTAGCCGCTTTGTTATTCTTTTCCGTCGCCTGTAAAGGGAGCGCCTGTCTCTTTCTATTTTACATCTACTCCTCCTTTTTCTTAGAGGAATAAGCCTTGTGCATACATCAAGTGCCACCGAGTTAATCTGTTCTAGGCATAAGTTGGAGGTCTGTGTTGCTTAGTATGTCTTCCCAGCTTATATCGGTTAGGACTTGGTTTACTTGGTCCCACTTTATGTTTTTGTTATTGAAGTTGGATTTGGTGAATGCTCCCTCGTGACTAATCTCATTATGTCGGTCTGGGGCTCCACGCATACATGTCTGAACCTCAATTATGTTGTGATGTGGAAGGTATTCAGGTTTAATTCAGGGAACTGGAGCACAGATCCAATTTCCTACATCAGGAGCCCCTCACCAGCATCAAGGAATCTTCCTTGAGGGGACATCAACCAATATCTACCATGTCAACCAACGTCCACCATGTCTACTAACATCCACTTTAACCAACATTCACAACATATCAACATCAGTCATTCTGTACAGGTCCTACAACAGTCTAGCAGGTCCTGCAAAATAGTGAACTTGAAGATCATATCAAAAAAAGTGCTAAACCTACAAGGGTATTGTCATGTGTAATGTTTGATGTGTATATGTGAGGGGGGAGGATAACACAGGGGGTAATCATAAATGATAAATAACAAGCTCCCTTTGTTCCGAGGTGTCAGCCAGAAATGCAATCTAGGATCATTCAGATTAGATTATACAGTACAAACAACTGAGGTACTGTCGACGTTTCACATCTCGGTTCCAACATCAAATTAACGTTGTATTAGACTTTTTAGTCACTTCCATCATAATTAATATTAACATGACATTCATCAGAGGCTGGGGCACTAAACCCATAAAAATCATACAGCGCCTGGAGGATTATTACATTCATTAGGGAGCATAAAATTCATAGGGGTCAAGACGTACCTGGTGGGTAATGGGAAGCAATCAGGTTCAATCCAAGGAAAGGGATAAGTACAATCCTTGGATCAAGAGCCTCTCACAGATATCAAGGTACAGTGGAACCTCAAATTTCGAACTCAATCCGTTCCAGGAGCTAGTTCTAAATTCGAAAAGTCTGAAATTCGAAGCAATATTTCCCATAAGAAATAATGGAAATACAAATAATCTGTTCCAGAAACCCAAAAATATTCACAAAAAAATACATTTTATAGAGATTAATTACAGTTTTACATACACACAACAAATGCTACAGTCTTTAATTATGTATAGTAATATAAAATAACATTTTTACTTACCTTTATTGAAGATTGGTGATGGCATCTGGAAGATAGGGAGGAGGAGAGAGGGAGTTGGGGTTATTGTTTGGAAGGAGAATCCCCCTCCATAAGGACTTCCGGTATCAAAGCCCTCTCTGGGGTTGCTTCCCTTCTCTGTATTTTAATGCCACTAGGACCAGCTTGAGAGTCATTGGACCCCAGTCTCACAAAATAACTGTCTATAGTCCTCTGTTTCTGTCTCGCAAAATAACTATCCACAGTCGTCTGTTTGTCTCACAAAATAATTCCACAGTCGTCTGTTTCTGTCTCACAAAATAACTGTCCACAGTCGTCTGTTTCTGTCTCACAAAATAACTGTCCACAATCGTCTGTTTCTGTCTCACAAAATAACTCCACAGTTGTCTGTTTCTGTCTCACAAAATAACTGTCCACAGTCGTCTGTTTCTGTCTCACAAAATAACTGTCCACAGTCGTCTGTTTCTGTCTCACAAAATAACTGTCCACAGTTCTCTGTACATCCTGGCAAGCTCAACAAGTCTCACTCCAATCTCATACTTCTGTATTATTTCCTTCTTCACATCTATGGTGTTTCTCACTTTCTTTACCACAGGGGTACCGCTCGCAAGTTTCTTTGGGCCCATGGCAGCTTATTTCACAGCCCCACAAGCACTAAACACAATTAAATAATCATAAAATGTGTGAATGAGATCGCAGGTTAGTGTTCACTCAAGCATAAACAAAGCTAGATTGCTCACGGCGCCTGCGCGGGGACGCGGACAGAGCAGGCCAGTGGACAGGTCCCATACCCGGCGGTCCGAAAATAGGGGCGCGTTCGATAATAGGGATACAGTTTGTCCGAAAAAATGGTCTTATTTTCAAAACGTTCGATGTGATACGTTCGATTTTTGAGGTTCCACTGCACCTTCTTGCCATTCGATGATGATAAATGCATTTACAAGGAAACAAATAGCATACTATATAAGCAGGATATATAAACTAATACTAAAGTAATAAATTCTGTAGTGGCAAAGATTGTCTTGTTAAACATCTTTCCTATTTTTCCCTTCTTTGGATCTGACCTGAATGCCTTCCATTTAAGAACATAAAAAGAAGGAACACTGCAGCAGAAATACTGGCCCATGCGAGGCAGGTCCAAGCCTCCTACCGGCTTAAGCCAATGCCCTAACCTAGTCAGGTCAGGTCACATTCACTTAAGGAAGGAGCACGGCATCTGACCTAGTAGCACAGGCTAGTCAGGTTCAACTCACACCAGCCAACACCTACTCATTATTTATCTAACTTATTTTTAAAACTACACAACATTTTAAGTTTTAAGTATTAAGTTTGCCTCAACCACTTCATCTAACTCAGTTCACTTATAACCACTCTGAGACTGACCAAATATTAGCAAAGTTTATTTTCTACATTACATAGATTTACATTACATATACAGTAAGTTGCAAAAGACGTTTTCAAGCCTATAGCTATGATTTTTTTTTTTTTACATCCCTGTGGTTCATCTGTGTCTGGTTTCCATCAATGATCCCTCACTCCTATGCCTCTTCTTTTCTAAATGGCTATTCCTATCAGCTGTCAAATTATTATTATAATCATGGGGGAGTGCTAAACCCATAGGATTATACAGCACTCGTAGGGGGGGGGAATGGAAGGTATTCAGGCTCAATTCAGGGAACTGGAGCACAGATTCAATTCCCTAGATCAAGAGCCCCTCACCAGCGTCAAGGAACCTCCCTTGAGGGGATCGGCTGTCAAAGAATCAGAGTACGTATCTTTTATGTCATAATCATGTTTCTCCTAGTCATTCTTTCTTTTAAAGTCATCCGGTTCAGTTCCTTTAAGTCCCTCCTCATAACTCAATCCCCTTAACTCTAAGACTAGTCTTGTTGAAAACCTCTGGCCCTTTTCTAGTTTTCATATATGCTTGATTAGGTGGTGACTCCATACTGGTAAACAAGACAGTTTAGCCAAACCTATTTATGATGCTAACCCCAGTATGACAGGATCTACTGTACAAGGAGTAACAAATGTGGGTGTCATGCTTTAACTGTTCTCTCCTTTTATATTCCCTCTCTAGTTGCAGCCAACGTCAGCAAAAGAAAAATTATATAAATGCAAAACTTAACCGAAGGCACAAAAATTTATTTTAACAAGTTCAAAACAAGCCATACATATGCTATAACAATAAAAATATTAATACAGTACATATAAACTTTCATTTGATATGAATTTGTGTTTTGTTGATCTTTCATCTTACATATGTGTATGCTATATATTTAAGGTACATAATCAAGTATTAGATTAATAACATTGATTTTTTACATAATTACTGCATTTTAAAACTATAAAAAATTAGCTTTCAACTTGGTACAATCTCAAACAATTTTAATGAGTAAGAACATAAGAAAGAAGGAACACTGCAGAAGGTCTTCTGGTCCATGTGAGGCAGGTCCAAGTCTCCTACCGGCTTAAGCCAATGCCCTAACGTAGTCAGGTCAGGTCACATTCACTTAAGGAAGGAGCCCGGCATCTGACCTAGTAGCAGAAGCTAGCCAGGTTCAATTCACACCCACCCGCACCCACTCACGTATTTATCCAACCCATTTTTAAAACTACACAACGTTTTAGCCTCTATAACTGTACTGGGGAGTTTGTTCCACTCATCCACAACTCTATTACCAAACCAGATGGAATCAATTATACAAATTAAGCTGACCAATTCCACATCCTTTTCAGAGTTCATTAATTCAATATAAAAATTAAGGCAGCAAAAAAGCACTTGTATAAATATACATGAGATATGAGCACGTGTAATGACAGGAATAAAAAGACTAGAATAAAATAATAATAATAATAATATTTGTATTTCTACAAGTACATGTTATACAGGCCTAGCTGACATCAATGAGATACTACTATATAGAAAGCCGCTTGCTATGCAGAGCATTTCGGGCAAATTAGGTCAGTTTTGTCCAAGGATGCGACCCACACCAGTTGACTAACACCCAGGTACCCATTTTACTGATGGGGAACATAGACAACCAGTGCAGAGAAACACATCCAATGTTTCTACCCTCACTGGGAACCAAATCCAGGCCTTCACTGTGTGAAGCAAGAGCTTTAGCTACCAGGCCACGGGGCACAAAAAAAAAAAAAAATTAGTAAGGAGGACTGTGTTAAGCTGTGCATATCAGTCAGGTACAGTTTAAATGGAGAGATGATTTAGGTTTGTGTCCATAGAAACTGAGTTTTTTTTTTTAAATTTCAAGGTTAATTTTTATTATTTGTGGAATGATAGATTATATCTACTCAAGGGATTAAAATTTTACAATTACATAAGTTAAAGACTTTTTTACGTAAAAAATTTCAATGTTAATTTGGTATTTCATGGTATCGTACCACAAAAAATTTATTTTGAATTTACAATTACATTATTTTTTACTTTACAGTTATAGCAGTTAGATTAGGCACTAAATTACAGTTTTATTTTGTAGTATACAGGGACAACACCAATTTTCTGGCAACAGATAGTCAGGCACCTCTTTTAGTCTGGACATAATTATGAGACTAGTTTTTTTGCCAGACTACATGTATTTTACTGGGTGGCCAAAAATTGCCACTCACTTGTATTGTTTACAGTGTCATTGTTGGTGGTCATCCCTTGACTTAGTACAATTATAAGGTAACAATAAGCCCTAGCTATGGTTAGGTTTAATAGCTATACAAATACAGCCTCTCCTCATTTAGCGATGTACTCGTTTACTAACACCTCGGACTTACGACGGGCTCTCTGACCATTATTCATACCTAAATAATGTACATATATTAGAGCTGATTTCCTCTATTTTGTTAATTTCAATATACGTACAGTACACTACTGTATAAACATTTAAAAATATACCAGAAATGTTATAAATGATGCAAAGCTGACATTAAAACAATATCAAAGATGGTTGACACAAACTCATTACCATTATAGTATACTCCTCACTTAGCGACAAATTCGTTTAACGACGTGGTCTTAGGAATGGAACTCCATCATTAAGTGAGGAGAGGCTGCATTGACAAGTTAATTGAGCTGTGAGGTTAATCAACAGACTAGAACAATGTTCTTTTTAACAAGAGCTAATGAAATTTTTATTAGATGAATGAAAAATTTCACAGGAAAAGATGAAAATACATGAAACAACTTTGCTTGGATGAAATATTTAAAAAGTTAGCCAAGAAGAATGTGTCACAACAGTTGGTCTTCATCTGAAAATCCTGTGGCTTCAACTTCAAGCACCCCAGATAACATCACAAATCTATGATGAACCAGTCAATTATGAAACAGACAGTAGTCCTGACAACCCTGAACTTCTAGACCTTTTTGATTACCTATACAGTTCCAGTAAAATTCTAAAACTTACCACTCTGGGAGTAGTATTACTGCAACATTCACTTTATGGTAATTAACCCTTTGACTGTCGCAGGCCCCTTTCTGAAACTGTCATTCTATGTTGCAAAATTTTTTGAGAAAAAAAAAAATTATTTTTTCTTGTGAAATGATAGAGAATCTTTTCCCGATGGTAATGACACCAAAAGTTTGAAATTTGGTCGAAAACTCACGGAATTATGCTCCCGCGAAGTTAGCAGTCTCGGCAACATATACGTATCGGCGATTTTGCCGACTTTGAGCCCTGTTTTTAGCCAATTCCATTGTTCCGGTTGACCAAACTCATAGCTATTTCTTTAGAACTCCATTTTATCTATCAGTTGAGTACAAGAAACCGCCCATTTACCGATTTAAACTACCCAATAAAGTTGTCAGAAATTGGCAATTTGGCCAATTTCACACAAATCAAAAAAGATGCCAATTTCAAAATAGGGTCCAGAATAAGCAAGGTAGACATTCTTGGCACTAAAATAACATATCTTCTGTTCATTAGTCACATCTCTAGGCCCCTCTTATATTACTATTGCTTTCTATTTTGATTTTTTATTCATACAAAAAAATACAAAATTTACTGGTATGCAGACTACTGCATTATTTTATAAATGGTATAAATAATATCAGTGCACTAGTGAAAGAATATTAGACTCCCCAGTTGACGTGCATTGGACGTGTGGTGTGATTTGCTTACTCCTGAACATTGGTAAAAATCGAACATTTCCGTTACTTTGAGCTCAGTTTCAAGGTCGTTTTCATCGTGAAAGTAATGAAAATCATCTCTATTTCTGTAATATGTTTTCCATTTTAACACCTAAAATCATGAACACGAGAATACAATGATAAATACTATACGAAAATACACCTCAAAGTCGGCGTTGTAATCCAAAAAAACAGTCATTTTTTTTTTTTTCTCATTACGCACTGTGTGCTGCAGGATTTTTTTTATGTGGTGCACACTGACCACACAGACCCATTCTCTCACATGTGGGCCTACCAGCTTTCTCCTGCTTGATTTGAAGCCGCTAGAATTTATGAGTATATATACGTCAGAAACAGTGGCGCGTAAGACGTATTTATACGGCGTAAACAGTCAAAGGGTTAATAAACCTAATTCATTTATATGTACTAATGTTTAATTCAAATTTCCAGCAGACCATGGTAGGTCAGGTGTGCTGTTGAAATATTATTATGTGACCTCTATTGGCCCACCAAAATTGATATTCCAGCAAGGCCTAGGAACCAAGAATACCAGAAAAATCGGTGTTGCAACTGTAACAGCAATGCAGTGAGAGATCTGAAAATACAGTACACTGCAGTTAAAATTATACCATTTTTATACATTACATCATAAGCTACAGGTTCACATAAGAAAGCATCTTCTAATACCTGGCTCAATCAGAGGAGATGATTTGTACATTATCATTAAATGGATTATCTAAAAAATTAATGTGTAAATCTTTCTCAAGCTCTACACAACACTGTATATTATTTATTAATCAATACTAGCATAGGACAAATTTGAAATTATAAAAATACAATGATTAATTTTTGTGTTTATTATGGAGAAAGAACTTCATTTCATTAAACCATAAAAAAAGCCAAAACATGACAGAGAGGAATGTTTTAAAGTACCAAGTGCATATGAAGGCAACAAATATAAACATAATTTCAAATTACATTGGAATAAATGAAGGTTGCAATTAGAATAACAAGACTTGATGAAGATTGCCGGGAATGGAGAAGATACATTGGAAGAAGTGCACATACAAGTTAATGTGTGATTATTTGTATTACCTATGCTAATTATGTATTCTTTACCTACCTCTCTTGTGATATATACAAGAAGCATTTGCTTGCTTACACTGAAGGAAAGATTACACATTTTTTTGCTTTCTTGATACTATTACTCTTGTGAATACATTTATAATTTTTAGGTTTTAAACACATTCTAACTACATACCATATTTATAAGTACTTTAAATATACTGTATTTAGCATATGTTTTAATATCTAACAAGTAAAACTGCAGTTCCATTATGTGCCTGCTAGTGCAAAATAAAATTACAGTAATTTAAAATGATAAAGTTACAAAAAAGCTATAAAGATATGTACTGTACATTTTGTAAGCCTAAAAATGAACTGTCCAAGATATATGACAAAAAGACATAAAAAAGTAAACTCTGTATTGGTAGTGGTAAGCTATTTAAAGCAGTGGAGTCTTTAATGGTATAACGTTTCACCCACGAGTAGATTTTATCAAGTACCGTAACTACTTAGCAACAATGAGAAAATTATAGTTTACAAAGAGCAACTGGGGCAGGTTGTCAGGTTTACCTCTGTTGCACAGTGCACTGCAAGAAGTCTACCAGCCACATCTGGATTCCCTTGTGAAAGGATAAGTGTACTGTAGGAAATGTCAAAGTGAACATGCCACAATTATATTTTATGGTGTTTAGCAGTTGCTTTTTGCTGATAACACTGTGCTTTTGGGAAATTCTGAAGAGAATTTGCCAAGATTGGTGGATGAATTTGGGAGGGTATGTTAAAGAAGGAAATTAAATGTGAACATAGGAAAGAACAAGGTGATGAGGGTAACAAATGATTTAAGTAATAAAAAACTGGATATCATATCAGAAGTAGAGAGAGTATGGAGGAAGTGAATGTGTTCAGATATTTGGGAGTGGACCTGTTGGTAGATGGATATATGCAAGACAATGTGAACTATAGAACTGATAAGGAGTAAAAGGTAGGTGGTGCAGTGAGGCATCTGTGGAGGCAAAGAATGTTATCCATGGAGGAAAAAAGGAAATTGTGTGTGAGTATAGTGGTTCCAACTCTCTCTTATATGGGTATGAAGTATGAGTTGTGAATGTTGAAGTGAAGAGGAGGATGGAGGCAGTGGAAATGCAGTGTTTGAGGGTGTAAATATCAAGCAGAGAATTCATAGCTTGGAGATTAGGAGGTGCAAGTTTACTAAAAGTATTATCCAGAGGGCTGAGGAGGGGTTGAGATGATCTGGACATGTAGAGATGTTGGAGCAAACAGGATGACTTGGAGGATGTATAAATCTGTAGTGGAGGGAAGGTGGAGTAGGGGTGACCCTAGGTAAGGTTGGAGATGGGGTAAAGGAGGATTTTTTGAGTGTGAGGAGTTTGGATATCTGGTAGGTGCATGTGAGAGCATGTTTACATATGAGTGGAGGGAAATTGCTTTTGGGACTTAATGAGCTGAAGGGTAAGGTAACATTTTTGTGAAGCGAGTCACTGAACAAAGTTAGCCAAACTTGAGTCCTGAAGGTAGGAAGTACAGTGCCTGCACTCTGAAGGAGGGGTGGGGATATTTGGGGCATCTGCACTGTAGTATCAGCTCACCTCTGGCAAAACAGTGATAGAGTGAATGGCAGTGAAAGTGTTTTTTTTTTCCTTTTTTGGGTCATCCTACCTTGGTGGGAGACAGCTGGTGTATTAAAAAAAAAAAAACCTAATGGTACCACAGCCAACAAAGTGACCACTCAACTACACAGATTCAACTTTGATATCACTGTGGCTAACACAAAAAAAAATCTGTGACATCACAAGGACTTTCAGACTCTACATAGGACCCAAGGATGCAAGCATCTAAAATATCTCATGATGGAAGTGTCCAAGTTTACACCAGAGAAATTGCTAGGAGTTTTCTTATATGCCTAGAAGAGCATAAGTATGCCTATAGAATGGTGGGAGACAGCTGGTGTGTTAAAAAAAAAATACCTAACAGTACCGCAGCCAACACAGCAACCACTCTACTACACAGATTCAACCTTGATATCATGGTGGCTATCACAAAAAACATCTGTGACATCACAAGGACTTTCAGACCCTACATAGGACCCAAGGATGCAAGCATCTAAAATATCCCATAATGGAAGTGACCAAGTTTACACCAGAGAAACTGCTAGGAGTTTTCCTATATGCCTAAAAGAACATAAGTATGCCTATGCCTATAGAATGGACAACATTAATGCTTGTGTATAATGCAACACACACTTCATAGCACGAGACAGATCAAGGCATCATGGCTATTTTCTCAAGAAAACAACAAGAATAAACATTAGAGTTTTAGAGTCATTTATACTCAAGCTGACATAATAAATCAAAATTGTGGTATGTTTATTTTGGCAACTCCTATAGCACATATCATCTTAGAACAAAGGAAACCCACCGTAAGCCATGAGGACTCTTGCAATGCAATACTCAACAAATGTACACTTGACTAACAGCCCTGGAAGCCCTATATAAGCTGTAATCATCTCATTGTTTCTAAGTACAATATGCGATAAAATCCACTAGTGTGAAACTTTGCATCATTAAAGACTTCAGAGCATTGTCTTTACACCACTTGTAGACATCATAACACTGAGTATGAAACATCTCCATACTGACTGGCTCATAATATAAAATTTATTACTGCATAATAAATAGTACTGTAAATACAACAGAATTCCTGATATAATAACTTGCTCCAAGTGACCCCCAGTGAATCCCAATCAATTTTTGTATTTTAGATAGTAAAAGACAACTTTAATATTTAAGATAAAAAACTTCCTTCACCATTATGAAGAGGCATGTACTGTATTGATAAATATCTTCAAATTTTGGAAAATTATACATGTATATATTTTCACTGCTAATACTATTTGCTAGGATGCTTGATATTTTCCTATGCATTTATGTGATTAATGATTATAGGGTATATACTGTGCCTGTTTAACAAACTATAAATATCTAACCATACCACAGGCGGGGATAGAACCAGCGATCAGAGAGTGGCTAGCACATCGGTCTGGAGTTTTAGGACTCTCTGATCGCGGGTTCTATCCCTGCCTGTGGTATGGTTTGTTTGCAATCGTGTCATTATATTTCGTGAGTTAAAAATACTATCTATGCTGAAAACATTATTACAGGAGGGCCCTGCATATACAACACCTTTGAAGGTGTTCCACATTTTTGTTGGCATTCAACTGAGTCACTGATCCTTATGTTTGGTACTTGTACCACTTTTCTGCCATTTTCATACAACAGTTACATAAGGGAAAGGCAGCTGCACCATATTTTAAGGTACATATTGTATGTACGTGCTGTGTACTTATTTTACTTTGTTTTTTATGCCTAGCCGTATTGAGAAATTAATATATAACAAGTTATCAGGCATTTTAGATGCATTCAGTAATGAAAAAATGCTCTTTTCCATCCATCACCAATTTTTGCTTATTATACTGGTAAGTGAAAAATAATAGCCATACAAACAGGGCCCCCTGTATTACATTCATAGAACTGCTAAACTTGTAAGGGTCATAGAGTGCTGGAAGGTGGCAGGGATGGAGAGATGGAGCAAACCAATGTCAGGAAATCAAAAAGAATGTGCAAGGAAAGTTAAAGTAACTTTCTAATAAAAGAAAGTTAAAATAAATTGGCCACTATTCTTACCCTTCCTGATACTGTAACAACATGGCATTAATTTTAAATTCCTAGTATTGAGTACATGTCAAATTTATGATATAGCATAGTATAACAATAACAAGGGTATACAATAATCGATGATGTCATCATTCATTCCAGTTAAGGATTGTTTTGCCTCACCTCTCTTTTTCTCTCTGTGTTTGTAGGCCAATTCCATATACAGTAAAACCTTTCATTAACAGATTTTGACAATTTTGGACAAAAATAACGGCTAGACAAACGAAGTGTTGGACAAAATAGACAGAAGTCTGTATTTCTGAATTTTGTCTGTAGCGACAGCATCTGGTTGTCTTTTGAAGTACTGAACCAAGCCTGATGATGTTTGTTTGTATTGGACGTTTGTCCGGTACAGGCCAGAACAGCCACGTCCAGGATACCTGGATGTAGCTGTGCTCACTTATGCATACACTCGTCATTCAGTCTATTATTTTCCCTGGATTCAGAGCACTTTGTGTAACTTCATTAATATGTTAGGTAAAGTGCAATAACAATGACTTCTAAAGCAAGTGGTAGTGTCAAGAAGAAATGTATGGTTCTCAGAGTTAAGGAAAAACTTGAACTAATAAAGAAGGTGGAGTTTAGTGTCTCAGTGACATGGGTATGTGAGGAATTTGGTGTTAAGAAACAGTGTCTGCTAGCCTTCGAAGCAAGGACAAACTTACAGACTATGTCCTCCGAGTCCTCTGACTCAGAATAGAAGTTACTCTGAGTCACCACTATCGATCACGGCAGTTTGTGCCTCATCTCTCCAACATGAAAAGGAAAGTAAAATTACTGAAAATTACATAGAGTACTATAAAATTACTATACAGTACAGTCCTGTACTATAGTACTACAGGTTACAATACCCGTATTCCTAGTATCTGGTTGTCTTTTGCATCACCAGACGAAGTCCGCTCGTTCAGAAGACAACAGGATGATTATGAAATTATCTTAATAATTCGAAAGTTTTGGTAATATCGTACACTCACTTCCCCCTATTTGTCTATTAATGAGGGGGTTCACTGTATCTGATCAATAACTATCCTACTATTACTAGCTACAGTACTTTTCTAAATGTTTTTCTAAACTATCAGGGCATTTCTTGCTTCTTCTGAGATTCTATTAATCAGGAAAATCCCCAAGAAAGTTTTAATGCTACTGCATATCTAACTGAATTAAACACTGCATAGAATTTGCACTAATAATCCATGTTGTGAACCTGTTGGTATTTTTATGAAGGAAATTAGTTATTGCAATGTTTCAACAATCATTTGTCCTTGATTTTCTGATTACATTTTATGTATGTTCATAGTTTGATAATGAATTATGTTGATGGTGTTTTTGGAATGGCGAAGATGACTGGTTTCAAATAACTTTACAATTTCAAGTTTAAACTTCCCAAAATTAGGACAAAATAAAAACGTACTTAACTTGATGAGCCTTTACTGGACAACATTTCACTTAATTGTGAGCTTTAATAAGTCTTCTAGACAATGTTTTGCTCACATATTGCCCAATTAAGGCACATCTTGCTTAGAACTTATTTTACCCCTTTTGTCAATAGGTTGCATATCAGTCTAGTCAAAAATTAACAGGATATAAGTTCTGCACTCCAAGCTGAAAAGCAGGGTATAAGTATATTCTGAGTGAAATAGAAAACCCATGCCTTGGCAAGGGGAAGGCCATGCCCATGTGGTCACCCTTCTATTGCTGCATTATTTTATAGGTCAAAGCCAACAGTGGTAATCCTGACTAACAAAATTAAATGGATTTTATTCACAGTGACCTATTCTCAAATACAGCCTCTCCTCACTTAACCCTTTCAGTGTCAGTCCTGTAATATTACGGCTTGAGAACCAGTGTCGGTCGCATAATGCTATGCCAAAATTCTAGCTCCTTCAAATCTAGTGGAAGAAAGTTGGCAGGCCTATATATGAAACAATGGGTCTGCGTGGTCAGTGTGTGCAGTATAAAACAAATCCTGCAGCACGCAGTGCACGAGGAAAAAAACAAAACTCGAATTTGAGGTCTATTTTCGTATGGTATTATGGTTGTATTCTCGTTTTCTTGGTCTCATTTGATAGAATGAAAGATATATTACAGAAATAGAGATGATTTTGATTGGTTTCACGATGAAAAGTGCCTTGAAATTGAGCTCAGAGTAGCGAAAATGTTTGAGTTTTGCTGATGTTCAAGAGTAAACAAATGACGTCACTGTCCAATATGTGTCCAACTGGCCAGTCTAATACACAGTCATGAATGGGTTGACATTATTTATACAATTATAATAATGCAGTAGTCAGCATAACAGTAAATATTCTATTTTTTGTGAGAATAAAAATTCAAAATGGAAAGCAAGAGTAATGTAAGAGGGGCCTGGAGATGTGACTAATGAACAGAGAAAATGTTATTTTAGTGCCAGGAATATCTGCCTTGTTTATTCTGGACCCTATTTTGAAATTGGCATCTTTTGAAATTTGTGTGAAATTTGCCAAATTGCCAATTTCTGACCACTTTATTGGGTAGTTGAAATCAGTAACTGGGCGGTTTCTTATACTCAATCGATAGAACAAATGGAGTTCTAGCAAAATAGCTATGATTTTAGTCGGCTGGAACAATGGAATTGGCTTAAAATAGGGCTCAAAGTAGGCAAAATTGCTGAGAGAGTGTAATTTTATAAGTTTTCCATCAAATTTCGTACTTTTGGTGTCATTACCATTGGGAAAAGATTCTTTATCATTTCATAAGAATTTTTTTTTTTTTTTTTTTTTTTTTTGGAAAATTTTTTGACACAATGAGTTTAACCCTTTGAGGGTCGACAAGCCCTCTCCGAAACTCGTTCTCAGGGTCGGCCAAATTTCAAAAAAAAAAAAAAAAAAATTTTTTCTTATGAAAAAATAGTTTTTTCTAAATATTATAGGCTAAACAAAAAAATTTTACCGTCAATACTTACCGAGATATGGAGGCGTGAAGTTTGCCAAAATTGAACAACATCTGGTAACATCGCCGACTGCTGTCACCCGGTATTTTTCTATTTACTTTTTTATGTACTATTTTCAATTATTTTTCAATTTTTCTTTTTCTGAGTAACTTTTATGGCCTCTGAGGCCAACATGATCAGTATTTTGTAAGTTATTTCTTTTTCAATACTACACAATAAGGGCATAAACACTGTTGTCATTAATTTGTTTACAAAAAATATTTACACAAACAAACAATATGAAATGTTGCTTATTACTATTTTTCTATATTTTATATACACATATACAGTCACAGGGAATGTTTCTAGAAGTTCTGCAGCCTGTGGAACTCTTTGAAACATGGTGTCATGCACAGTGGTGTTTTACATTCCTCACACATAAAATGAGTGTCTCTGCATTGTTGTGGGCGTTTTTTTGTATGTGAACAGACGTAACACCTCTTCTGAGCCTTTTTCTTGAAAGCAGTAGCAGGCACTTTTACCAGGAAGTGATCACCATGCTTCAGACGAGCAGGTAGTTGTTGATAATTTGGTGGGCGGTCAATTGCAGGTGCTGTTCCTTGGTACTTGAATACTATTTGTCTGATGACAGACAAACAGAATTCGCCGTACTGTGGTTTGTTTCTGGTCCTCATCTTATACATATTATAAGCATTGAGCTGGAAATGTCCAGAAGATGGAAAAACAGTTTGATGTACCACTTATAACTCTTGCGAACACACTCAGCAAACCCAATCTGCATGTCACATTTGTCCACTGAACGCATATTGAAGGTGTAATCAATCACAGCTGCAGGTTTTAGAATGGGTTCATTGCTCTCTCTATGCTGCCTGCCACTGTCTGCCATTTCATTAGGGTGAACTGATGACAACAGTGTGACATCTCGTTTGTCATGCCACCGAAATGCCATGATGTCATTGGCAGCAAACGCCTGCACCTCACCTCTACGAGTGCCAGCGTCAAACCTGGGCATATGTTTCCGATTTGCACGCACTGTGCCACACACATCTGTCATGTTCACTCGCAAAAAATCACTGAGTGAGGGGCTTGTGTACCAGTTATCTGTATATAATATATGCCCCTTACCAAGGTATGGTTCTATCATTGTTCTAACACACATCTCCTGAGATGCCCAATAACTTCCTGGTATTTTGCAATGTTATAACTTCCAGTGTACACATAATATCCAATACCAGACCACTGTAACAATCACAAAGCACAAACAACTTTATACCAAAGCGTTTCCTCTTGCTTGGTATGTACTGCTTGAAAGAGAGTCTTCCTTTGAACAGAATCAAAGACTCGTCAATTACAAGCTTCCTGAAGGGATAAAAATGCGTACTGAATTTCTCTTTCAGATACACAAACACATTCCTAATCTTATATAAACCTGTCAGTTCTGTCAGGCCTGGTTTTGCTGAGAAAATGAAGCATACGTAACATTAGCACAAATTGATTCACTGGCATTATATCACTGAAACCTGGGGTTGCAATCAGGCGGTCTGTTGACCAGTATGATTTCACTTTGTGCTTATACACATGTGGCATAAGCATTATTGCGGCAAAGAAAAGATACACCTCAGCCACAGTTGCCTCCTTCCACTGGTGTAGACGTGATTTTGGTGAAAGTAATGTGTTTGCCATGGTGTACTCGTAGTATGTGTTGCTTTCCATGACAATACTTTCCATCAGTGGTTCGTCAAAGAATAACTCGAAACATTCCAGTTCAGTGGCATTGTTCCCAAGTGTACAAGATGGCCGTATTCCACTTTGGCTGTCATCAAACTGGTGGGCATTTGGAACAAAATTGACAGCTTCCTGCCAATCCCAGGTGCGGTCTGCTGGTGGGTACTGGACAATGACAGGTGGTTGTGGTTGTGGAGGCTGGTGTGGTGGGTGGATGGGGGATGGTGGCCTTTGTTGTAGATCAGCTGAGGCAGCGGCGTGGGTGGCAGCGTGGGTGGCAGCATGGCCCACTGCTGGTGCCTCACCGCCGGCACCACTACCACCACGCACATTTTCCATCCCAATTGCAACAGTATCATCGTCATTTTCACTCTCTGTTCCTGTTGTACAGCCACGGGATGTACTCTGAGATGCACTCCTTCCCCTTGGAATAGCATATGGCACACTACCAGAGCGCATATATCGTCGTATATACTGACGCTTCACTGGGGAATATTGCACTTCACTATCACTACTGGGAACTAGTTTGAAGAGCTTGTAGTTCATATTCCACTATCACTATCATCACCATGCTCTCATCTGAGTCTGGGAATTTGGGAAAATAGAAGTTTCTCCTCTTCGATTCTGGTACAACTGAACATGAACAAGACGGCCCAGCACCAGAGGTGGAAGGCTGAGGGTCGTCTGGGTTTTTCCTCACTATTACCAATATTATGGTCAATTAGTTTCGGTCAAAACCTCACCAAAACCTTGAAACTCATCTTCACTGGCACTTCCATCTGTATTAGAAACTGTCACTGGGGAACAAAAGTGTCCCAATTCGCCGAGGAGTGAGGAGCTTCTTACCGCGAGGCATGGTGGACATTGTTTACTAAGATGGTGTTCCCACAATGCACCACTGGGTCCCAGATTTTTTTTCTACCGCGCACACTGACCACACAGACCCATTCTCTCACATGTAGGCCTACCAGCCTTTTCCCGTGAGATTTGACGGCGCTAGAATTTGTGCGTACTAGTACGTCAAAAACCCCTACGCGTAAGACATACTAGTACGTCCGAAACCCTCAAAGGGTTAATAAGGATCAAGGGTCTCGACACTAAAAGGGTTAACGACGGAGTTCCGTTCCTGAGGCCATGTTGTTAAACGAATTCGTCACTAAGTGAGGAGCATACATACTACGTATAATGGTAGAGAGTTTGTGTCAACCATCTTTGATATTGTTTTAATGTTACCTTTGCACCATTTATAACATTTCTGGTATATTTTTAAATGTTTATACAGTAGTGTATTGTATATTAAAATAAAAAGAATAGAGGAAATCAGCTCTAATATACATTACGTATTTAGGTATGAGTACTGGTCATACAGCCTGCTGTAAGTCCGAGGTGTCGGTAAACGAGTACGTCGTTAAGTGAGGAGAGGCTGTATAGAATGTTATATTACTGATATGGTAATGAATAGTTTGGCAATTTTACTTTAGCATATATTGGGGCCACCCAAATTTTTTTTGCAGTTAAAATATGTACTTTTTCAGAAAGGATTGATGGGGAAAAAAGGGTGTCTAATTTATACCTACAGAAAAAGACGATAATATACCTGCAAATTTTTAATTCCAAAAAATTTTAAAAATTTTCTATTATAAATAAATAATTTTTTTAAATAAAACAACGAAAATCAAGGGGGGTTGCACCCTTCAAAGGGAATTAAAGTTAGCTAATTTAAACAGCTTTCAATTCTAGAGCCTTTTTCTAAAGACAACATAGCAAGAAATCCCTGAAAATACGTTCACGGGTTTACCTCTGAAATGAAGCACAGTTTAAAAAGATATATACGGTAAAAACCTCGGCTTATGGCTAAAACCCATTGTATCCTTATTTGTTCGTATGCTGAGTAAATTTTTTCCTCAGTTAAATTAAGTGAAAACCTTTAAATCTGTTTGGGGAGTTCTGCTCTCAAGAGGCAGGAAAAATCATTTTAATTAAAAAATATAACTCTAGGTTTTTTTTATCTATCACAAATTTATCTAATTGACGAATAACAATATAAAAACCATAGAAACCTGTAATACTCTAGAATGAATTAAACATGTCATTATGTAAAAAGTGGGGGCGGCCAAAAAGCTCCCGCATTTTTTGTGGCTTCATCCCCATCCAGTGAGGCCTTTCAAAGTTCTTTTAATTAATTATTATTATAATAATTATTATTTATTTTATTAAATGTATTTTTTATTTAGTATTATTTTATTTATTTTTAAACACATTATTATTTTTTTTATTTTATTATTATTTAAAAATGGGAAAACACTTGTGGGGGGGGGGATAAAGGTATTCAGGCTTAATTTAGGGAACTGGAACACAGATCCAATTCCCTAGATCAAGAGCCCCTCACCACATACATACTACTACTACTAATAATAATAATTATAATAATAATAATAATTATTATTATTATAATAATCATAATACAATATATGTAATAATAATAATAATAATAATAATAATAATAATAATAATAACAACTGTAAGGAGAAACTTCAAAAGGCTGCCAGTAGTTGGCATCACCATCAACATAACATTGGTAACCACTACTTTTCACCTGTCTAGACTTATGTAGTCTATAATTATTAGGTTAAGTCTGCCTGAAATGCCTCAGCAAGATAGTGGCTTTCTTTGCTCCACTCATATTATGATTATTATTATCAAAGATTCGCCGGTATTCTCCCGGCCCGGGCCTTTTCCAAGTGGTAGCCCGGCCTTGGCTCCCTCTTTAGGGAGTGTCTGAGACCTAAGTCTCCCATGGGAGGAGGCACAAGTACCTCCTCATCTTCGGGACCAACTGTCCCCAGGCCTAGCCACAAGCTAGGCCTCTCTGGTCTGCCATCCCCGCCCCAAGGGGGCAAATGGGAATGACAGTCTTATGAGCTAAAGGCTCGGGCTCAGGCACCTACCCTACCCTAGAAGGGTTAGGCATGGTATCGATGTTGCATATTATGATGTGTAAACACACATTGTAACCTTAGCAAAGAAATAAATATTTTATATATTTATTTATTTAAGGAACCTCCTTTGAGGGGGAAATACGCATCCTGAAATTTTGTTCATATCCAGAAGCAAAAAATCGACCGAACGACAGTTCATATCCTGAAAAGTTCGCATGTTGGGAGCGTTCATAAGCCGAGGTTCCACTGTACTGTACATATTAAGACCCCTTTATTAACTGTAACAGGTGTAAAGAAATCACTTATCCTTTTATGTTTTTCTATAAATATGCATAAATTTTATATGAATAATAATATAAGAATTATTTATTTAGCTTCATGAGGGAAAAACTTATGTGGGAATATTAAATATATGATAAAACCATAAATATGAAATTCTCTACATTTCTATGAACTAGAGTTCAACACATATAAAAGCCTACTTTCTTTCATCTTTGCTCTGTATGATTAACTTACATGTATAATGTTGTCTACTTGAAATGACATATAATACATACAAATTATAAAATAGATACAATTATAAATTTATGAATAAATTTAAACATTGAAATCATTCTGATGCAACCCACTGTCATTATTAGCATCCATTACCTCATTTTTGACATTGACATTTGCCTGACACTCCAAATTATCTTGATTAATGGCAATCACTTCATCTTTGACATTAACATTTACTTGCAGAAAGTTAGAGGAATCTGTAACTTCTGACACTTCATTACCCTCTGATGCAGAGCTCTGCCCAAAGCTGAGGAGATCTTGATCAGCATGAGTACTTCCTGCTGGATTGAAAATCATATTTATTATGGGAGATAATGCTATACTTGGATTGTCTAGCTGTTCTCCTTGGGTAGAGTCTTCTGGAGCAACCATTACTACATGATGTTTTAAATGGTCTTTATATATATGTCTTTGGCTAAAATTCTGATTACAAATTTCACAAACATATGGTCTCTCTCCTGTGTGAACTCTCATATGTCTATTCAGATCTGAGTTTTGGGCAAACTTCTTCCCACATTCTTCACAGGCAAAGGACTTTTCTCCAGTGTGGACAATCATATGTTTCTTTAGCTTTCCACTTTCTGAAAAGCATGCTCTGCAGAACTCACACACAAATGGTTTATCACCCGTATGAATTCGTGTATGCCTCTTAAGTTCGCTGTTTTTAAGAAATCCTTTGCCACACTCATTACATATAAAACTCTTCTCGCCAAAATGGGTTTTGTAATGATTCTTCAAATCACTTTTTTTAATGAAAGCTTTATCACATTCTTTACATTCAAATGGTCTTTCTCCTGTATGATGTCTCATGTGGACTGTTAGTTTCACTCTTTCTATGAAGCCTGCTCCACAAAGTTCACAAACAAAAGGTCGCTCACCACTATGAATCATAGCATGTCTTTTTAAATCACTATTCTTGGCAAATGCTTTTCCACAGTCTATGCATTCAAAAGGCTT